ATGCCATTTTTATTTACATGAACCTATAAGCTCAGTAAGGCCAAGTTTGCAAATATATAGGACACCCCTTGCCAATGTTATATAGCTACCCCTCCCCCACGCTGTCCAACTTTTTTAAATTTAAAAAAAAGGGCAAATGGAATTTGAATATTGATAATGAAATCCCGTATGACACGGCCACGATGATGGCGGCCGTATCCTAGAGGGTTAACAATACTATGCTTACAACTTCATCTCAGATCTTCCAAACAACAAAACGTATAAAACAAATATTGAACATTGTTGAACCCGATGACATAATATTTACATGTTGGAGCTTTCATGGTAAGACAGTTCTAAAACTTTTGCTGTGGGGCAATGGAACAGGTTCTCTTAAAAAGAAAACAACTACCTGCCGGTATTAACCTTTTCACGCTCCCCTGATAATTCTTAAGGTCCCCACACACCTTACGATAATCGTACGATAATCGCGGGAAATCCCGCGATCGTACGATTATCGTAAGGTGTGTGGAAGCCGTGCGACCTCTACTACTGTAAGGTCGCACGACTTTAAACTTACGAACATGTTTGAAAACACGGCGAGCATCGTACGATGTTCGGCGCGTCTGTAGCATGTTCGTAAGCTAAAAACCGGACGGGCCGGTGTGCGCAAGCGCACACTGCCCGTTCGGCATTGCGGTCATCGGAAGCCCGCCCCTCGGGGGGGGTGGCTTGCGATCATCGCAACTACGATCTGCCTATGCAAGATAGGCAGATCGTACGTTTTTTTAAGTACCTTACAACCATCGCAAGACAAAAGTCTTGCGATGGTTGTAAGGTGTGTGCCCAGCAGAACTCATATTCTATGCCCCTATTGGGGCGGCACAACCATCGCAAGACCTTAGTCTTGCGATGGTTGTACAGGGATTAAAAAAAACGTACGATCTGCCTATCTTGGACAGGCAGATCGTACTCTCGATCATCGCAAGCCGCGCCCCCCTGAGGGGCGGGCTTCCGATGACCACAATGCTGAACGGGCAGTGTGCGCGTGCGCACATCGGGCCGTTCGGCATTTGTCTTCCGAGCACCGTTCTAACCAGCCGAGAATCGTACGATTCCCGGCTGGTTTTCGAACATGCTGGTTCGACGGAAGACGTGCGACCGTACAGTAGAAACGGTCGCACGTCTCCGTTCACACTGCTCGATTCTCGTACGATCGCGGGATTTCCCGCGATTCTCGTACGAGAATCGAGCAGTGTATGGGCACCTTTAGGCACACTCTGGGAAATAAATGGTCCTTCTTGGTAAGGAGAAGCATGTGACCTCCCAGGAAATAGAGCTCAGGCCCATGTGCCCAATCACCAGGCCAAATCACTGTCCCATGAGGTGGGGAGGAAGTCATTAGACCTGTATATGCTCTGACATGGAGCTTACACAGGGTCTGGTTTCGATGGAGGAAAGAAGTGGAAAAGGGGAGAGGAAAAGGATGTGTGGGAAAGGTATGAGTGGGAGTTCTTTCAAGAGAACCTTTCACTTTGCCATGAGTTGGCAAAGTGAGAGGGGCCTGGCAGCATCCTAATCAAATTAGGAGCATGATTCGCACATTGGTTTTCAGTTTCCCCCCCAATTCCCGCACCTTCAGATCAGCCCCGATTCCCGCACCTTCACACCTCAGATCAGTTCCAACGCATTGACCTAAGACCTTAGATCAGCGCCAACCAGCATGCTGATCTCCACAGCTGTCATCAGGCTTTCAGTGACGCCAGTGGACGGAGATGGACGGTCCAGGCTTTGGAAAGGACAGTGAGCTGTCAATCACAGAAGATGCCAGCGAAAACAGCCATCACTTGCCTGTCTAGCCCGGCCTACTGGGAGCCACCGACACCCGTGTCACAGTATAAAGTCCTATAACATTTTGGCATGCGTTTGTGCCAACTGCGTCACTGCACAGAAGTGTTTCTATATTTGTGGCTTAGAGTACACAAAAAGGTTCATAAAGAAAGTGAAGAGCTGGACAAGTCCCAACTGTATTTTAGTAGTAAGCGTCATTAGGAATGTAGTTTCCCAACCCGGGCTCTAGAGGTACTTTTCTTGAAGTAAATTTATGACAGCAGGCAAACAGTAATGAAAACCGACCTGGGAATGTTCAGGTCATTGAAAACACAATGGAAGGCTGAAGACCATTTCCACATATTGAGAAGAGTTGCACACAATAAATGCACTTAAGCCAAGGCGCACACGAGGCAAGCCAAACCACGGGATAAGTACTGGCCTGTTCAATGTTCAATAGACGTGAGAAACATCAACTTATAATAATACAAAACCACAAACAGCATTCAATTGTATCCATGCCTAAAACTATAAATAAATCTGTATTTCTGTATTAAAATTTCCATCAGTTCTATTCCACTCCCAATAACCAGATCCATCTAGAACAGTGGTTGCCAACCGGTGGGTCACCATTTGCGTTGTGCTCAGCTAGGCCAGCGGCTCTTCAGCCGCCTCCAAGCGCAGCAGTGTCAGTCCTCCGGTGTTCTATCAAAGATTGTGACTGGGTTGGAATGTGTGACGGGTCACGTGGTCACACATTTTAACGTGATCACGCCCATTTTTTCCGGAGTTAAAATATTTAACTGGCAAAAGGTGAAGAATCCCAAACTTTCTCAGCTGTTCCAGGGCAGATCGGCATCGCAGATGGTATGTGCAGGAGAATCGATCTGCCCTGGAACAGCTGACAAAGCGTTGGAATATTAATGGAAAATGAGTACATGAAGCGCACTATGCAAAAGACAATCAGTACATGCACCTTTTTTGGTGCAGTTCGGCGCGTCAGGGACTTCCTGTCCCAAAGACACAGCAGGACGTGAGAGAGAATACAAAATAAGGACACACCCCCTCTCACACAATTGTCACCAAGACCGGGACGATTTGCCCTCACTTAGTGTTTCCGTGACAACAGTACAATGTTGGATCTCCCGTCGGTTTCTGTCCTGGTGACAACGCAATAAATGAGTTTCGAGTGCTTATGTGCACAATTCCATTTAGACTCGGGGTAGTCACAAGATGATCGCAGAGACAGATGAGCGGTCGGTGCTTGTAAATCCTGTTGGCAGGCACGGGAACACAGCAGACACACGGCTGTGACTAGCACACAGTCACCATGGAGGTGACGGTTACCCTAGGCAGGTCATGCGATTGTCATCTGCTGAGATAAAACCAGTGACTGAGCCGCCAGTGACCAGCATCCGTCCTCACAGCGATATCATCTGCCTGCCAGCCAAGCTGTCCAGAGACAACTTAAAGAGACCCTGTCACCAGACCGTTCATTTACAGAATGGATGCCGGCAGTCCCAGCAGACAGACACGCTATAGCAGGGGTACGCCAGCTGTGCTCAAACTACAAATCCCATCGTGAGTCTTCCCATGGAATTCAGGTTTGTGGCTGACTGAGTTTTGCAATGCCTCATGGGACTTGGAGTTCCACAACAGCCAGAGTGCCATGGCCCTATCCCTGCTCTGTAGTATTCCCCTTCACTCCTCCCCCCTAACCGCTACATAAAAGGTTATGTAGGGATTTGAGGGGAGTGGTATAGGAGCTGGGCCAGCACACACTGTAATTAGACACTCCCAGAAGAGTAGAGGGGTATGACGTGCAAAGGGGGAGGGTAAAGTAGTAGTACAATTTGCATTGCGCTATTCACCTTTGTGATTGGAAGTTGGGTGAGTGTCTAAATATTGGCATGTGATTGGCCAGTTTACCAATCCCAGTCACCTGTTGGCTGATCCAAGCATCACCAGAACCTCTCCACCCTTAGCAGTTGTTGAACTACAAGTATCAGCGTGCTCTGGCTACCAGGGCATGCCGGGACTTCTAGTGCCACAGCAGCTGGAGAGGTCATGGGATGCCCGGACCAGGGCTCACCTGTCCCACCGTCACCCAAAACTCCCTCATACAGCACCTTGCAAGCCAGATCGTAGACGGCTCCGGGTGATCGGGGTTGCCGGCGGCCGTTCACTGACGATGGCTGCACGTCTCCATTGACAGCCACAGACATCTTACAGGGTGAGTGCAGGAGCCGATCCAGGAACTGGGCGGAGAGCGCCCTGCGAGCTGTCCAAGCAGGGAGGCGTGGCTTGTAGACTCCCAGCGTGGCACGCCGCACCCTAGCAACGCCTTATTTGGTAGGTAAGCCCGCCCACCTGCCAAAGCTAAGAACGACAGCCTCGCCTTACACGCGTTACTTGTTAAGCGACCCCGCCCACATGCATGAATTAAGACAGTCGGCCATGCCCACATAGCGGCTTGCTTGGGCAACCCCGTCAACATATATTAAAACTAAACAAGATGGCCCCGCCTACACAGTGGCTTACTAATTAGGCAACCCCGCCCACATATATGAATTATGCACAGCGACTTACTTATTAAGCAACCCGCCCACATCCATAATTAAGCAAGATGGCCCTGCCCTCACAGCGGCTAACTTGCATAATTGAGCAAAAAGAAAGTCAACGGCCCCGCCTACACAGCGCCGCCCACATACTTAAGGTGAGGACTTCGGCCCCGCCCACCTGTCCTGCTGAAGATAGGGTCTCTTGCGCAGCGCACAAGTGACATCTGGAGGGTTGAAGACGGTCCAGCAATGGTTGTCACCTTCCCACCGGATGCTGGCTACCTGGGAGAGCAGCTTTATTACTGCACGCAGCTGTCACTGGGATGAGACTGTGCTGATGGGGAGTTAGCAGGGGACAGGCGGCCTCACAGGTTACAATATGATTGGACAATCTCTGCTAGATCGACCGACTGTGTGTAATGCACGGACGTGCAAGATTGGATAAAGCTAACACAGGAAGTAACCCAAACTCTTTACCTTTCCCCTATCAGCGAGATTATTTTACATACTTGATTTATACAACAAATCCTCCAAAGGCTTCCATGGAATCCTGGCAGAGCGTCTCACCATGAGGGTTCAGCTTTAGGTTGACCATGCGCCGACTGCTCGCAGTTCCCCAAGGATTTGGAGAAAGGGTCGCTCAGCGTTATTGTTTGACTGGTGACGGAGGCGCACAGCGTCATTGGTTGACTGGTGACTGAGGCGCACAGCATCATTGGTTGACTGGTGGCTGAGGAGCACAGCGTCCTTGGTTGACTGGTGGCTGAGGAGCACAGCGTCATTGGTTGACTGGTAACTGAGGCGCACTGCGTCATTGGTTGACTGGTGGCTGAGGCGCACAGCGTCCTTGGTTGACTGGTGGCTGAGGCGCACAGCATCATTGGTTGACTGGTAACTGAGGCGCACGGCGTCATTGGTTGACTGGTGACTGAGGCGCACAGCGTCGTTGGTTGACTGGTGGCTGAGGCGCACAGCGTCATTGGTTGACTGGTGGCTGAGGCGCGCAACGCCATTGGTTGACTGGTGGCTGAGGTGCACAGCATCATTGGTTGACTGGTAACTGAGGCGCACGGCGTCATTGGTTGACTGGTGGCTGAGGCGCACAGCATCATTGGTTGACTGGTAACTGAGGCGCACGGCGTCATTGGTTGACTGGTGGCTGAGGCGCACAGCATCATTGGTTGACTGGTGACTGAGGCGCACAGCGTCGTTGGTTGACTGGTGGCTGAGGCGCGCAACGCCATTGGTTGACTGGTGGCTGAGGTGCACAGCATCATTGGTTGCTAAGATGCTGGTGGCCTCACAGCGTCATTGGTTATTATGGTATGCCCACCATCATCCTAGCAACCAAAGATGCTGTGTACCCCAGCCGCTACCATCCTAGCAACGAAGGCCTCTGTGTGCATTGCACAGCATCATTGGTTGCTAGGATACAGGCTGCCCTGTGTTCGGCTTGCTTGGATGCTCGCAGAACCTAGATTTCTGGATGGGGTCGGCGAATGTCCAAACGAACCGGACCCAGGCCAGTCAGACATCATCTATCTCCGACAGGAATGTAAGATCTAGGGATGACGTAGGTTGAGGAAAGAAGCTTCGGTATGGGCAGAAAATGCAAGGAAACATCCAAAATAGCGCCGATATCAGGCAGATAAAAAAATAAATTAATATAGTACTGTAATCATTAATATGTTCTTAATTGAAGTTGAATGAAGCCAAAACTTTTTTTCAGTTTTGGATAGGGTAAGGAGCTACCCCCGCACTGCAAGGGTTTTCTCCCCTCTCCGGGTCGTGCCCCACGGTAAGGGTAGATTTGAGTTTTCAGTTTTAGAGCTTAGCCGTATAGCGGACCTTTACCCCCTTTCACTAAAAATCACATCAGCATGCTGATATGAAATGATCTTACATACATTAGTTAAACATGTTTGCTTTTACTTACAAATACTGGTTGAGTGAGGCACTGGTGATGTAGCCCTGGTCTGGTTGAGTGAGGCACTGGTGATGTAGCACTGGGCTGGTTGAGTGAGGCACTGGTTATGTAGTCCTGGTCTGGTTGAGATTACTGAGGCGCACAGCGGCGTTGGTTGACTGGTGGCTGAGGCGCCCAACGCCATTGGTTGACTGGTGGCTGAGGTGCACAGCATCATTGGTTGCTAAGATGCTGGTGGCCTCACAGCGTCATTGGTTATTATGGTATGCCCACCATCATCCTAGCAACCAAAGATGCTGTGTACCCCAGCCGCTACCATCCTAGCAACGAAGGCCTCTGTGTGCATTGCACAGCATCATTGGTTGCTAGGATACAGGCTGCCCTGTGTTCGGCTTGCTTGGATGCTCGCAGAACCTAGATTTCTGGATGGGGTCGGCGAATGTCCAAACGAACCGGACCCAGGCCAGTCAGACATCATCTATCTCCGACAGGAATGTAAGATCTAGGGATGACGTAGGTTGAGGAAAGAAGCTTCGGTATGGGCAGAAAATGCAAGGAAACATCCAAAATAGCGCCGATATCAGGCAGATAAAAAAATAAATTAATATAGTACTGTAATCATTAATATGTTCTTAATTGAAGTTGAATGAAGCCAAAACTTTTTTTCAGTTTTGGATAGGGTAAGGAGCTACCCCCGCACTGCAAGGGTTTTCTCCCCTCTCCGGGTCGTGCCCCACGGTAAGGGTAGATTTGAGTTTTCAGTTTTAGAGCTTAGCCGTATAGCGGACCTTTACCCCCTTTCACTAAAAATCACATCAGCATGCTGATATGAAATGATCTTACATACATTAGTTAAACATGTTTGCTTTTACTTACAAATACTGGTTGAGTGAGGCACTGGTGATGTAGCCCTGGTCTGGTTGAGTGAGGCACTGGTGATGTAGCACTGGGCTGGTTGAGTGAGGCACTGGTTATGTAGTCCTGGTCTGGTTGAGTGAGGCACTGGTGATGTAGCCCTGGTCTGGTTGAGTGAGGCACTGGTGATGTAACCCTGGTCTGGTTGAGTAAAGCACTGGTGATGTAGCACTGGCCCTCACAGATGCATCCTGGGAAGCTTACATCACCAGTGCCATCCTGGGAAATTTCGTCTCTAAACTCCAAAAGCTCATGAGATCTCGGATGAAAGGCATTTTTCCCCCCACTCACACAATGTCACATGTTCCAGGAGGCGGACTCAGACTTCCAGGAAGCAAAGGGAGATGGATTGATCTGCCCTTAGTAAAAATGGCCGCCGTGAGAAGAATTGGGGAGGAAAAGAAAAATAAGGTATACAAGGAATAAATTGTGTGTGTTTGTAGCTTGCCATTACTAAACATTCCTGAAGGTGCCTTTGCTGTCATTTCTGAGTTCCTCTCTAAGCACAGTACATATGACTGAGATGCACCGTGGCCAGCTTGACTCCTAGCACTCTTACCGTGAATCCGATGCCCACCGTGGAAGTGAAGGATCCTGGGAGAAATTTGCCTTGGTCAAACTGTACAAGCAGTGACGTCTTCCCAACAGAACTGTCTCCCAGAAGGATAGTCTGAAAAAAACCAAGGCATAGAAGATGACGGCCGATTCCAATCACATTATCCGGCATTTTATCATAAAAGGGCAAAAAGAAAAGTGCTTACTAAGTGACCATAATTCGGGAAAATCACACTTACCCCTTTAATGGGACTACCACCACACTGCAAGGGTTAAATGCTGGCTTTGTCACTCTAGAGGGCTGAAAGTAAGCTGTTTTAGTCACCTGACTCTCGGTCCTGCGGCAGTCGGCGCTCACCTCTCTTCCCCTCCACTCCTGTCTAATGCAAGTCAATGGAACTGCATAAGACGTAATGATGTTAGTGGTCCTTAGACCACCAAAGCCCAGGGTGGAAGAGGGTGTGGGGACCGGTCTAGCAGCCCGGTGGGACAAAGGATCAGGTAAGTAATACAGCTTTATTTGAGCCCTCTAGACAAAACAAGCACCTAACCCTTGCAGGGTTGGGGTAGTCCCTCTGCAAGGGTAAGTTTCTTCTTTAGCCAGAGTTCTTCTTTAAGCTCGGGACACTTGTTACAACCTGATTGCACAATCTCCTTTAGATCTACCAACAATTATGTAGTGCCTGAATGAATACAGATCGATTGGATAGTTTATGTAGGTCCTCATATTGTCCAATGTTGATTGTTCTAAGATAGCACAGTCTACTTGTCACATACATGGTGACCCTTAGATTTACCAAAACTGTGTCATGTGATTCTACCAACTGACCACCAATGTAAGGGGCATTCCTCCTAGTACCACCAATGAAAGAGCATTCTCCCTACTGACCGCTAATGTAAGGGGCATTTTCCCTCATGACTACCAATGTCTGGGCTGCAATCTTCCTACTGACCACCAATGTAAGGGGCATCCTTCCTCCTACTGACCACCAATGTAAGGGGCATCCTTCCTACTGACCACCAATGTAAGGGGCATCCTTCCTACTGACCACCAATGTAAGGGGCATCCTTCCTACTGACCACCAATGTAAGGGGCATCCTTCCTACTACTGACAACCAATGTAAGGGGCATCCTTCCTACTGACCACCAGTGTAAGGAGCATTTTCATAATGACTACCAATGTCTGGGTTGCACTCTCCCTACTGACCACCAATGTAAGGGTTGCAGTCTTCCTACTGACCACCAATGTAAGGTTTGCACTCTCCCTACTGACCACCAATGTATGGGTTCATTGCAAGATTCTCACAGCCACAGTCATGACTGCAGTCTCCCTAC